CAAAAACATAAAAATAGCCATCAGAATCTATCACTCTCAAAATCAAGCACAATGGGACACAAACCTTCACTTTTTCCAAATTGCTCTAAACTCAGCCAAACACAACAGCACCGGTTTCTCACCAGCAGAATTATTCCTAGGCTATCAAATCAACCACCCCCTTGAACTAAATTGGAATTTAGACCGTCTCATTCCAGATCAACCAATGGATATCAAACACACATGGGCACAGGCACACAGCAACCTCAGAAAAACCAGAGAAACCAGAACAAATCAATACAACAAAGGACGCCAACCAGTTGATTATAAAGTAGGTGATTGGGTGATGTATCGATTAAATCATCAAAGTAGCGCAGTGAACAAAGTGAATGCTAAACTTTTACCAGTTTGGTCCGAACCCCTAATAATTCAAGCCTTCACATCACCAGTAACTGTAATTTTAGTAGACCCAAAGGCAGGGAAAACAGTTAGGAGAGCTCATGTCTCTCAATTGAAAGCCTTTTTTCACCCCAAAAAATGACACACGACCAAAACAAAAACCGCATTGCACACGTATCAAAATGAAACCGCACACAGGCACCAGTGATATTAGGTTAGTTAGTTTGTAAGACCACCACCCTCACACCATACTTAACACCTGTCGCCGGCATCCACACTGGCGAAGCGCACTGAGTCTAGGGTGTCACTTCTCTGAGGTGTCATCTACAGTAGCGGTCGCCAGTGTGTCGCTCGCCCCGACAGCATCACACTTACACTTACACCCACACGCCAACCTCCAGACACAGTCACAGGTTAGCTAATTTTTTATATTTTTTGAAATTTGCGGTCGAGCCATAACCTTTATTTAAATTTTTTTAATTTCAACAGCTCGAACCTGCAAACTGTGACTTGTGGAAGGAGGAAAGCAAGAGCTCTTACACTTTCACACATACACTCACACAACATTAAACCAGTTACCGGAGTTCATTATATTTCATGTTTCAGATTTTTGTGTAATATATTTATTTGTTACTATTTATTGTATATTTACTATTGTTATATGTTATATTAATTTACTTGTGTTCAACAGCATATATATATTTTTTTTAAATGGACCAACGTGACACCCCAACCATGGAGGTCACCCTTTCTTCCCTTTTTGCTGCTTGGGGGAGGGGGGGAGATCTTGTGGTGTCAATCTCCACAACACAACCAGTATTCAAATGTCCCGCCTAGTCTTGACCCCAGAGCTGCTCGCGCATGCGCAGGCCGCAGGCGGGCCAAGAGGAAGGACCAAACGTCTGTCGTGTGTCTGGTGCCGCCAAGGATGGATCTGTAAATTAGTGGGAAACGGGGGGACGCCCCCTTGAGGTATTGTGTCGTAGTGTTAGTACTTTATAATATGTAATTTCAGGTCAAGGTATCAGTTCACTATATCATTCATTCCATTATGTATTATTCGTCTTAAAATCAAATATCAGTTCACGTTGTGTCCAGTCAAGTTATATAGTAATTATTTCATAAGTTGAACAATGTACATATTTCTGTGATATAAATGCATTAATTAATCAAACAATCATCAAAGCTGGCTATTAGGGCCTGTGATTTGCGGTAAATTGTCTCCTCTGCATTAATAAATGTGTTCAGTTAACGTTTCCAGCAAGAATGATTTGGTCTGGATCTTGAATCACATGACCAGGTCACCAAAATGTGGCACCATTATGCCACAACCATTTGTTCCTGAACAATTTCCTGAACACGGGCAATAGTGCATGAGCTACTACTTTTAATCGCTGAATCATTTAGGTTTGCTATTTTTATCTTTAAAGCGGAGATGTCAGTCTTGTAATCGACTCCTGACTTCTCCAAGGAGGCTAGTCTGACTTCCATGGCATTAAATTTGTTAAGTAGGACTTTGAGTTCATTATCAACTTCAACAACCTTCTCACTGTCTTCTGTGTCCACAGACATCAGGGGACTTTGTTCGTTTTTGTCAGAAGGATGCTTTAAGCTAAATGTTGATTTTGATTGTTTGATGGTTTTCTCGAGTCTTGATACCGTCTGTTGAAGATTGAGGATGGCCTTTTCTTGGGTTTCGTCATGTTCTTCGAAGTCTCGTTGCAAATACTTCCTTGATTCCCTCTCTTTTTCGAGTTGCTTGCTTGCTTCGCTGATTTGATGTATTAGGCTTTCCTCCCTCACATGCAAAGTTTTTATTTCATTTTCAAGGTCTTCATTTAAAGCCAATAGACTCGCATTGTGTTGCTGCAATATACTATTATCTTTTTCAAGCTGTGAAACTTTGTCCAGAAGAGCAGAGCCTATTGGCCTAATGGATCGAGATGGAATTGGTGTTGGCGGGAAAAATTATACGACTTGGCTCGGACTTGTAGGTTAGAAAGTCAATGTGGTAGTGAGAAAATGAGAGGTAAGGTTTGTTATCTGAGTTGATTGTGGTGTTTGTCATTGACGATTTTCCACATTTATAACTCAAACTCACGTCATTAAAGTAAAGGCTGCTGGAGGTCACACTTCAAGGGTCAAAAATAATATTATCGATTTACAGTTTATCAAACTAAGGGGAAGGACAAATTCGCCAAAACGCCGGCCTGAGTCAGTTTACTCCACTTACCATAGCCTACTTAAGTTACTGTCATCCAGATTGTGTCAACTTTCCTCGCAACCCTCATGAATGTACAAAATACATTTAATTTACTTTTGGGCTTTGTGATTTAGCAAATTTCTCTGTAGGGAAGTAGCTATTACCATAGGTGTCACGGTAAGGACTATCATTTTGATATCCCCCGAGGCCAATAAAAAAATAAACACCATTCATTCGTTCAAATGTTTAGGTATGCCTACATATATAGGCCTATATATTAGGATGGGCTGAAAAAAATCAATAATTTTATTTTCGAGTTGTAATAGGCTACCTACCTTGGAAAAGCTGCTAAATTGTAGGACCAAACAGGGTAAAAATATTAAAAATAGGCCAATTGGTCGTTATCTTCTGGTCGCACATGTGCTCTAAAGTTTGAAAAAAAAAATAAAAAACTCATAGGCTAAGCTATTTTTTATTTTATTTTTAAATTTAAAATTTTAGATTTTTAGTATGAAGTAGTTCAAAATGTCATCTGCAAGACACTAAGGAATTGATATTTAAACAAAATAAAGTAGGCTAACTTATTGTAAGTTTGATCTTCCAGTCGCGCATCGGCTGTTGGCCCTAAATATTGCCAAAAATCTAGAAAAACGTAATTTTGTACTACACTAAAATAATTTAAAAATAATTACCAGTAAGTTATCAATATCAAATTGTAATACAGAAAATCTGCTTGTACACATTCAGACAGTATGTTTAACTTAACAAAAACAACGGACAAAGTCAGAATTGATCTTCTGGTCTGGCATAGCAATTAATTAATACATATTCACTTGAGCCCAGCCCTATCAGTGTGATTCCGAAGTTTAAGTTTCCGAAATTGAAAAACAGGATGGTAATTATAGGCTAATGTTTCCCTGTGCTCACTAACTAAAATTGACTAAATATTGTAGTGACAGCAACCAAGAATGTTTATCCGATCGTTCTACAAATGCAATAGCCTCTTGTGTTATAACCAAACGATATATCAAATTACATAAGCTTAATCTAAATATTGAATAATTTTTCATTCGGTTGTTTTTGACAATAGCCTATATAAGTAGGCCTAACTTACGGAAGTGTACCTGGGTTGTGTTGGGTACGGTATGGTGTCTAGTAATCTAGGTACCCTAATGGTGTCTAGTAATCTGGGTGTGGTGTCTAGTAATCTCAGCAAGGTGTCTAGTAAAGGAAACTGCCCTGTCACGATGTTAAAGCGGGTTTTTCAGGCATGGTGTCTACAGGAAGCCTTGGTGAAAAAAGTCATTTGAGAAAGTTGTAGTGTTGGTGTCTAGGACAGGTTAAAAAAGTCTTAATATAACTTAGGCTATAATCTTTTAGTTTAGTTGGGCGTCGGAATAATACCTAACCAACAAGGTAAGAAGTAATTAAGTCACTTCTAGGGCCTAGGTATGCCTAGGCCTGATTTACATAGCCCGGGTACAGTTTCTTAACTGGGCTACGCTAATATCGATTGAAACTATCGATTCAATTAGTAAACCTTCACGCGATTTTTACACCATCAGCAAGTTTGGTTGGTTAGGTTATGATAAGTTCGTTTAATTTATAATAGATATATTTAAAAATATTGATTATTAATCAATAAGTTATTTTCAATTCGATAGTATCAATCAATATTTAGCGTAGCCCAGTTAAGAAACTGTACCCCATAGCCCTAAGTTAATTTAATCCGGTAATTCTGAGCAATTACTTGGTCAACCCCAATTTTTTTCATATTTTACTACGGTCATCAGGAGGTTCTCAGAAAGCAAGAAACATATAATTCAAGCCCCGCAAGGTTAAGTTAGGTTTGGTTAGGTTAAGTTATGTTAGGTCCTAACCTAACCTAACCTAATGTAACGGTACTGTTACAATTGGCCTTAGAGATGTATTTGAGACTAAAAAATCATCTTCACTTAAAACCGTAAAACTAAGTAACGTGTTTTCACACCCGTCACATAGAAAAGGATTGTCGGAGGAACCACTAGCCATAGCCATAACGGTACTGTCACAACTGGCCTTCCGCGCGTCTCCCGCAAGCCACTGTTATCGCTTGGACTTTGAACCTTCTTATCGCTCGGCAACCTGTACGATGGCCTTGCGGGCCTTGAATTATATGTTTCTTGCTTTCTGAAAACCTCCTGATGACCGTAGTAAAATATGAAAAAAATTGGGGTTGACCAAGTAATTGCTCAGAATTACCTTTAATCCTACTAACTTACTTAAAAACTTGACATGTCATGAAAATTGGAATGGAAAAGTAATACAATTAAGTAGACCTAGGCTACTTTGGCCTAGGCCTACCAAAAGTTATGCCAACTGATAGGCCTATAGGGCCTAATGCATAAATTTCTTGTTTTTAGATCTTACCTTAACTTACCTGTTAAAAATTCACAGAAGTCATTATTTGGGTTGTCTTCACTTAAGGGTGCTTTTCTTTTGCTCATCTCTAAAAATGTTAAAATCAGTGGAAGCTAAGGCTAAGATGATTTCTTTTAAGAAAATATAAAGTGCTAATTATTTATTATGCTCATTATTTCATTTCACTTCATTTCATGCTAATTATTGTTATGCTTACTTATTATTTCGATTTTTATACAGTTAACTTAAGTAGTTCTACAACCAACCAGGGCCTGAAAATATTAATTTATAGCCTATCGCCAATTAATTGGTCTCATTTATTTACTATTACTATCCGTCTATGTTCTGTACCACCAATTAATTAATATCATAGACTAACCAACACAAGTAGACTTCTCATCCCATTGTAAATTTTGAAGCACGTTTTTCGTGTCTAGTTCATGTACGTGACACAAAGGCGCTAGTGTCGATGAAACTTTGTTTCCATTATTTTAGGGTTAATTTCTTGATTTGTGCTTTACTGTTTGGTTATATAACTAGGGACAAGTTATTCTTTATGATTAGATCGTATTATTTGGTTAAACGAGGTTTTAAATGGCTGTAATAACGGGAAACAAATTGTAAAGAAAACACGACCTCTACATAAACCGTACATGAACTAACAATAAAATTGTCTTCAGCTGTTCCATAAGGATGAGAAATCTACTAAGGGAGTATGTTTTATCTATGTTAATATTAATGTTATCCTTTTTTGCTCGTTTGGTTGTTTACGTTCTTTGTTTATGTTTACTAACAGAGAAGATATAGTTAGCAGACGAAAATAAACCAAAGACGTTCGCATAACAATTAGAGCAAAATAATAAAACTATGTAGCTTGGCCGCACAATTTTTATTTCAGCTGCAGTTTTTTTACACTGACAAAATGAGAGTTAAAAATGAGAAATCATAAAAGAAATTAATCGTAAAACTAAGAAAAATATAAAATTATTTTTTTTTTTTTAATATAAATCTTTCATAACTTAACCTAACTATCCAAACTTGCTGATAATGAAAAAATCTAATGAAGGTTTACCAATCGAAAAAATAGTTCTGTTCATAAAATTAAACTATAAACAGCTCAAATTCAATTTTATATTATTTAAATTATAAAATTAAACCGTCATAACCTAACCAAACTTGCTTATACAGTAATACAAAAATATTAGACAATAAGTTAGTGCCACCGATGGGATTCGAACCTGGCACCTTCAGTTTTTCAGCCCGGCAAGCTATCCATTAGATCACCGAGACCGATAGCTCAAAACCATATCGTTTCTGTAATTGGGTTCCCTTAGCCAATAGATAGCTCTCATTTTGTCCGTATTCAAAATCTGCAGCTGAAATAAAAATTTAATTAAAAAATTTAAAAAAAAAATAAAAATTTAAAAGTTTAATTTTTAATCCTTTAATAAATTTATGTTCAAAAATGTAAATTTAAATTAATAATACGCGAATTATTGAGCTGGTGTCACTTGTCTGCCATGTTATGTTATGGGACGGCTGGTGCTAGACAACACTTGCAACGTTGCCAATTCTACCAGGACGCGGCCTGGAGTTAAAGGTGGCCATGAATGTAGATATCATGTTTAATTTCCCCCAATATATTATAGCTATAAAGCAGTTTTGAATTTTTATTCTAGCCTAAGTTGTTAAGGGAAGAATAGCTATTGGTGTATCAAGAGCGAAAAGCACGTCATTATGATTCTTTTTCATTACTTTCTGTTTCTTTTGTTACTATAGTTTATAGTAACGGCACTGTACTCATAAGGATCGTTAAGGCTCAATTTAATCATTTTATTGCTGCGTGCGACATTCTGAGTTGAATAATAATAAACCTTAATAAAATACTGAACCAAACCACATCCATATCACAGCCATTTTGATGATCTAATATTTCTAATGCATCTAATTAAATACAATAAGCAAATGAACAAGTAAAACTTCCACTCGTACCTTAAGGGTACGAGTGTGCTCAAAAGTTTAACTTACATATTAAGCTAAAATAGTTATTAGTTCCCTAAACCCCTTGATTCCCCCCTTCCTGAAAAAATGTAGAACATATTTTAAAATTACTTAAACTAAAGACAATAACTTATCAATTCGGCCACTAAGTCCAGCCTTGACCATTACGCCTACACGCCCTTGAATCCAGAACACAACTGCTACTCTGTCTCTGCGATTCCTACCCCCTCCCCCGTTCTCCAGCGATCAGCTGATATTTACCGTCTGATAGGTCGCCACTGTGACGCAAGCGTCACATTTGGAATGTTGAAGAAGTTGGAGATCATAGAGAGTAAATTTCAATAAGAGTGCCCGGAGGTTGTTTTTGAATTTTTCATTGGTTTGGTTCCAGGCTGTACAATAAATAATGTGGTTTAATAGCTTCATGCAAATGGCTAGAATAGTTTTTTAACCTAGCCCAAGGTTCGTTTTTATATAAATTAGGTAATAAATACGTTTCATTGGCATTAACACAATGTACAATAGATTGAATGTAATCTTACGACGTCTTCCTTTAAAATTGCAGCAACGCGCGACGGGTACGCTAGTTTTTTTATAAAACATACAGTGATTACACACGAGAGTTCTGCAATGGGCATCATGCTCAGCATTGGCTAGGATTCTTACTGCTCTTTTTTATCAGCAGGACAACGTTTATTTCTACAGACCCACTCCAGAGTCTGAGCCCATACAAGAGAGCACCTTGAAAAAAGCTAACTCAATAACTCATTTATTAAACCAAAATAACAAATACAAAATTTGCATTGGTCATAACAATTAATATCTTACAACTAAAATGAAAAATAAACTAAACAATGGTGCTTCAATAAAACTATACCAATTATGCCCCTTTCAAAAAACTAACTAACTATAAACCCATCAGCGACACAATCGTGAATACTGTAGTAACCCCTGGCCAAGAGTATTTTTTTATTTGCTTTTAAAAGTGGTTCAAGTTCGACTCCAGCTGAAGGGTGGGAGGGAGAAGATTAAAAAGTTTAATGCCGTTGTAATGGAAGTGTCTCTTGAAAATGTTGTTGAGTGAAATTGAAATTTAAGATGATAGTTGTTCCGTAGTGAATAGGAATCAAGGGCGGTCCCAGCATACACGACCCTCCTGACCCCCCCCCCCAAATATTTGTTATATAGATAAACTATTCTACTAGGGGAACTTTAATAATTTTTATTGCAAATCGTTCCGCCAAATTGAAATTCATTTCGAACGAAAGGACTTATTACAAACTCTAACCTAAAACTCATCGTTTGAGTCTGACTATTTTTTGTACGTTATGAAAAGTAGGGTTAAAATCGGCAGACGACGGACGTTTTCAGCCATAAGCCATATACAGCAACGGCAGTCTCCGGTACTGACATTCGACGTTCGGCCGCATTAGGTATTCTTAAAAATTCTTCTCTCAAATTTCAAAACTTTAAATATTAAATTGTATTCATATTTAGATCACCTGATATCATATTTAAGAATACCACAACCCAATTGGCATGTTGCTAGCCACAAAACAACAACAAAATGGTAGTGTCTCAGACTTAAACGCGGAAGGGAGAAGGGACGGATTTAATTCCCGGCACAACCACAAAAACTTGCACAAACATTTTATTCTCACGTTGACCGCTTGTAAAATGCCACTGGCACTGGCATAGAAAAAATGAGAACACTGAGCACCAATTCTTCAGGCAGTAGCAGTGATGGGACGCCGACGGCAACAGTTAGGTGTACTTTGTGTAGGTTAACTGTTGCTTACTGGGCAGGTATAATGCAGTCGTGTTGGGTGCAAGTTCTTAAACACTTCTTAGATAAAATAAGTTCTCTGGTTCAAAATCTTGGTCTGATTTTAGAAATTTTCTGTTTATCATGCACATCGGCACCAGTTGAAAGGGTCTTTTCGTAAATCAATAATGCTTGAATGTGTTGTAATGTTGGGGTATTCCTTTGATATTAAAACCCCAAGTCTCAATAATGCAAAAACATGACATTATACAAGTTTATTTTTAGACATTTCTTTGACCTTTAAATAAACTGGGAAGCTTGAACACATTAAACTAGGTCCTCAAAATAGTTTAAAAACCACTCATTTTAGCACGTTATTTCCAATTTTTTTCCCGGACCCCCCAGGCCCCCTGGTCACCCTCCCCCAACATATATGCCTATAGGACCGCCCTTGATAGGAATGTGTAGGTGAAGATTGATATTGGTGTATGTTCTTTATTTTTAGAATCAAAGTTTCCAAAATGTATATTGAGGGAAATGTTAAAATTTGTGAGGAAGTAAAGTATTGCCTGCAAGATGTTCTTCTTTTCAAACCAGAGACCACCCTGACTTCTCTCTTCTGGAGTCGGAAAGGAAAAGACGTTTTACCTACGACCGTTTTTTAAAGTAGCCATTTCAGTCCAGTTCTTAGAATTGAAAAGTTTCACTTTACAGCTGTTTACTTTCATATCCGCATAGTTTCATTTCATATCCGCATAGTTTTCTCATATCCACACAGGTAACGGACCAATGAGGTTCAAGTATTGAGAGAAAAGAATTAAAATTGTAATGCTTCGAACGTCAACTAATCAGCTGATCAGCTGATCAGTTGACCAATTTAATTGTTGATCCGACATGTTCATGTTGATACTCTTGATTCTTAATTAAGTTGGTGGAAGTCCAAAAATAAATGAAATATTTGCCGAATTGTACCTGATACAATATTATTTATGGTAAGAATGCTGCTAGCAATGTAATATTTAACGAAGTTTAACAAACACGTAATTACAGGAAATCAGCTGATTATACAACAAGTCGTTGCATCACTTTCAGTGGCAATGACAATACACGAAAACATAACCTCTCTAAAAAGTTATCATTAGTGATTGTTAGTAATTAAATCCAGATTGATAGTAATTAAAAAACGGTCGTAGGTAAAGTAGTGTACGCAACTCGCGTTAATAGTCTTTACGACACTCGTAGAAGTTTTTAAGGCACTCGCCAAGGCTCGTGCCTTAAATTTTCTACTCGTGTCGTAAAGACTCACTTAACGCAATCGTTGCGTAAACTACTATTCCCACACTCACTACCCCACATCGGCACTGCGTACATCAGGTGCGGGAAAATCACTCCATATGCTGTAATTAGAACATCACATTTAGCAAACTTATAGAAAGATGGCGGAGAAGAAAGTTTCCCGAAGAAATCCTTCTACACACAGTGTATGTCAATATGGAAATGAAAGCGCAGGTTTCTATTGAGCAACAATCCCAAGAACATAACCTGATCAGTTGCTTTGAGCTCAACATCATTCAAAATAAATTGTTATTGTTT